GAGGGAGCCTGGGTCCCGCCCCGCCCGCCCAGGAGCCCAGCCAGGCTGCCTCCGGGACCCGCCCCGGCAGGGCCCTTTCTCTCGAGGGGCTTGAGCCCCGCGCTGAACTCTGGGCTGCGGCTCCCCACCTGAGCCAGCCTCCCTCGTGTGGGCTGGACCCCGCCGTCGGGGACGGCAGATAAGCCAGATCGCACCTCAGGCCACCTTCTCCTCCTTCCCAGCTGGTTGGTGATGTTGGCAAGAGGCCCGAGGGCCGTCCAGACTGGCTACCCTGCCTTTTTTGGGGCTGAGCCCCTCATCTGTGTTTTCCAAGCGGATAAACCCATGCCCCAGAGAGGGCCTGAGGTCCGGAGAAAGGCTGTTCCAGCCCTTCCTCCTAGGGCTTCAGTGATTCCCCAGTACTGTCTTCCGGGTTCTACCCTCCCCACAGACCTAAGCTGCTCCCAGACTCCCAGAACCAAGAGTTCTTGGGTTGGGCTTTTTGTTTGGTTTGTTTTTTTCTTTTCTTTTCTTTTTTTTAATAAAACATCTTTAAAATGTGGGATTTGTATGTTGGTCACTGAAGCCAGACTCTCCGTGTTTGAGGTTGAAGCCGATGTCCAGGAGGCGCTGTGGCTGTAGCCATGAGGATGGGGGCCCAGTTTCAAGCTTCCCGCTGCCCCCCAAAGACCCACAACACTCCTCAACCCTTGACTGACCAGACCCACCAACACAGACTGCCCACTTCAGCCCCACTCATTGCCCAGATGGTTCCTTTTCCTTCAGATTCAGCAACGTACTCAGCATCACCTCTGTAGCTTGGGGGAACAAGGCAGGGTGTTTATCCTCACAGAGCTCATGGGAGACACTAAAACAGGAGCAAGGTAAGCAGAGAGGAAAGGCTGGAGTGGTTAGAACACCTCCCTGGACAGACAGGCCTGGGAGGAGGGTCATATTCAGGTAAGGAGGTGCTTAACTCAGAATTTTCGGCCTGGCACAGTGGCTCATGCCTATAATCCCAGCACTTTGGGAGGTCCAAGTGAGAGGATTGCCTGAGTCCACGGATCCGAGACCACCCGGGCAACTTGGCGAGATCTCATCTCTACAATAAAGCCCCCCCAAAAAACTAGCCAGGCCTGGTGGCGCATGCCTGTGATTCCAGCTACTTGGAAGGCTGAGGTGGAAAGGATTGCCTGAGCCCAGCAGGTCGAGGCTGTGATGGCTGTGAGCGTGCCACTGCCCTCCAGCCTGGGCAACAAGGTGAGAGATTCCACCTCAAAAAAAAAAAATTTGCTCTCTCCCATGAATCACTGACCAACACTGGCCTTCCTTTCTCACAAGAAAACAACTCCAATTCAGATGAGGACCAATCCCTACCCCTCAATTTCCTTTAACCCAGGAAGATACCCAGCACTTTCAGATGACTAGCAGAGAATCCAGTCTTTTCCTGTTACTTTCTTCAGAGCTACATTGACATATCTGGGCAAGAAATAAAAATAATAGCCATTGGCCGGGCTCAGAGGATCAGCCTATAATCCCAGCACTTTGGGAGGCTGAGGCAAGATTTATCTCTACAATAAATCAAAAATTAGCCAGACATGGAAGCACACACCTGTAGTTCGGCTACTTGGAAGGCTGAGGCAGAAGGATGGCCGGAGTCCAGCAGGTCGAGGCTGCAGTGGCCAGGAGCATGCCACTGCACTCCAGTCTGGGTGACAGAGTGAGACTCCAACTCAAAAAAATAAAATAAGATAAAATAATAGCAATCATGATCTACTGTGTACCAGCCACCATTGAAGGATTTTGCATATATTAAATTTCGAGATAGGTGCCATTTTTCAAGTGAAAAAATGGAAATTTGGAGGGGTTAAGTGACGTTAGGGTCACACAGCCTGAAAGTGACTGCCAGGATTTGAACCAAGACAATGTGGCTTCCAAGAGTATGCTAGTAAGTGCTCTGCATAATGCTATTTGGATTAAGAAAAAAAGTCACATGCCACAGGCTAGGCTGTCTCCCAGGATCTTTGCCCAAAAGAATGTAAAGTGAAGAACCAAGACGCTAAGTTCTTCTTTATCTTATTTTTCGTGGAGACAATAATTGACCTGTTTGGGCAATGGAGATTGCAGTGGTTGGCTGGCAGGTTATAAGACACCCTTAGCTTGAAAGGGGGCTGTTTACATAGCCCCACACTTTTTACCAGAGCTCTGGAAAAGGCAATAATTAGGATCATGCAAAGGTATAATTAGGTTTCTGGCATTAAGCAGCAGTGAAGAATTTTACTAGACTCAAAGTCTTCTATCCACAGATAGATGTCCTTGGCCCCCAGCCCAAAAAGTTGTCTGCCACTGTCCCCTCCCCCAAGCCTTAGCCTCTGGCCATACCTGTGCCAGGAACATCCTTCATCTTTCCCTGAGTTCACCTGAAACCTCAGACATTCCTTCATGATCTACCTTGATATGTTTTTAGTCCATTTTGTGCTGCTATAAAGAAATACCTGAGGCGGAGTAATTATGAAGAGGTTTTTTTCACTCATGATTCTGATGACTGGCAAGTTCAGAATTGGACATCTGCATCTGGAGAGGGCCTCAGGCTGCTTTCAATCATGGTGGAAGGTGAAGGGGAGCTAGTGTGTGCAGAGATCACATGGTGAGAGAGGAAGCAAGGGTAGGAATGGTGCCAGGCTCTTTTAACAACCAACTCTTGGGAACTAAGAGTGGGAACTCACTCATCCTCAAGGGAAGGTATTAATCTATTCATGAGAGATCTCCCCTTGTAACCTAACACCTCAACAACAATGGAGTTCAAATTTCAACATGAAGTTGAGAGGGAGCAAACAGAAAGCCACAGCAATGGCCTCTCCTGGCCTCCCTGACCTTCAGGCAAGCACACCCTCTTTTGTAAACCTTGCCCCTCTTCAGGCCAGATGCGGTGGCTCACGCCTGTAATCCCAGCACTGTGGGAGGCAGAAGTAAGAGGATTGCCTGAGCCCAGGGGTTTGAGACCAGCATGGGCAACTTGACGAGACTTTGTCTCAATAATAAATCAAAAAATTAGCCAGGTGTGGTAGTGCACACATGAGTTCTGGCTACTTGGAAGGCTGAAGTGGAAGGATCACCTGAATCCAGCATGTCGATGCTGGGGTGGCCGTGAGCATGCCACTGTACTCCAGCCTGGGTGACAGAGTGAGACTCTGACTCAAAAAAAAAAATGTTATGCCATAGATTTAACAACCAGATCCATGGCATTTTCCAAAAACTCAATAGCATCACATAGGTGACTTTGCTGTCAGCTCCAAAGCCTTCTAGTGTGCTTGAGGTGACCAAGAAGTTCATGAGGGACCCTATTCAAATTCTTGTCAAGAAGGAAGTGTTGACCCTGGAGAGTATCCACCATGCCTGGCTAATTTTTTATTTATTATATTAATTTTTTTGTAGACAGGGCCTCGCTGTGTTGCTCAGACTAGTCTACAACGCCTGGCTTCAAGCAATCCTCCTGGTTTGGATCTCTCAGAGTGCTGAAATTACAGGCAAGAGCATAGCATGAGAGGACCAGACCCTGAACCCACCATGTGACTTGCATGGAAGCCTGACCATCACCCAGGCAGCCATCTTCACCAACATCCAAAGGAAGGTTGATTGACTCACTGAGAAGACGCATGCCTAAGACCTGACCGTGTCCACCATGCATGGATATATGGAGCAAAAGGAACAAGATGTGATTGGTGAGGGAGTTCCGTGCTGCCTCTAGCAATGTATTGATAATCACTTGCCTGCGGGCCAGCAACACTGATGTTTAACAGCTTTCTCTAGTCGTCAACTTTGACCTTCCCACCAACAAGGAAAATGATATCCACAGAATCAGCCATGGTGGACACTTTGGCCATAAAGATATGGCTATTACCATGAAAGAAGAAGACAGGAGGACCCCTCTAGACATCAAGACTTATTACATCACCTCTGTTGAAGAGATGGCCCTCGATGTTGCTGACCTCAGACTGAGAAGAGGGGTTTAATCTTGTCATTTTTCCTTTGAATATGTGTCATTTTTAGGCAAAAAGGAATCTATGGTTATTTAAGACATCCTTTTATTTGGGGGTAGGCTCTTGTCCCAGCTGCTGTATCTCTTCCCCAATAAAAGAAGCTATTTCTAGCAGGGCTCAATGGCTCAGCCTGTAATCCCGCGCCTTTGGGAGGCTGAGGTGAGTGGATTGCCTGAGCCTGCGGGTTCGAGACCCGCCTGGGCAGCGAGACCTCATCTCTATGATAAATTAAAAAATCAGCTGGGCGTGGTAGCGCGTGCCTGTAATTCCGGCTACTCAGAAGGCTGAGGCGGAAGGGTCGCCGGAGCCCAGCAGGCGAGGCTGCGGTGGCCGGGAGCGGCCACTGGGCGACCAAGTGAAACTCCAACTCAAAAAAAAAAAAAAATTTCTCTAAGCTAGTCACCTCCAGATCCCAGGGGCTCCCCCTGGCCCAGCAGAATTCCTCTGAGAATAATTCAAAGGACTATAATAAGGCATTCAACCTCATTTGTTACACTAAATCTGAAGGGAGTGGGGTTTTTTTGTTTTGGGGGGTTTTTTTGAGTTGGAGTCTCACTCCATCACCCAAGCTGGAGTATAGTGGCATCCATGTCACTCATGGTCACCCCAGCATTGACCTGCTGGGCTCCGGTGATCCTTCCACCTCAGCCTTCTAAGTAGCTGGTTCTACAGGCGTGTGCTATCATGCTCAGCTAATTTTTTATTTATTGTGGAGATGCAGTCTTGCCAAGTTGCCCGGGCTGGTCTTGAACCCACGGACTCAGGCAATCCACATGCCTCAGTCTCCCAAAGTGCTGGGATTACAGGCTGAGCCACCGAACCTGGCTTTTTTTCTTTCTTTCTTTTTTAGTGATAGGACACTTAAAGCCCACACTTCTTTGCCACTATACAAAGTATCCATGTAACTGAAAACTATTTGTATCCCCTAAGGCTATTGAAATACAAAGAAAATAAACAGGGCTGGGGGGGGGGGTCTCGCTTTGTCACCCAGGCTGGAGACCACTGGCATGATCACTGCTCACTGCATTCTCAAAACTCTTGAGCTTAAGTGATCCTCCTGTCATAGCTAGGACTACAGGTGAGTGTCGTCACACTCAGCTTATCTGCCTCTTACAGAAGAGGAAACTGAGGTACAAAAAACTGAAGTGACCTGGATTACCCAGCTGGGAAAACCTAAACTAGGACAGAGACCAGAGTGCTCAGGCTCAGAGCTCAGTTCCTGTGTGAAAGTAAACTGCCTGGCACTCTCGAACACATACCCAGCAGTCCCTGCAGCCTCCTTATTAAAGAGCCTCCTTATAAAAGCCTCCTGAGAGCGGGCTTGAGTGAGAGGGAGGGGCAGAGAGCCCGAGTGCCTTGGGAACCTGAGGCAAGGCAGGGCACAGAGAGAGAAGCTGGTGATCTGCCAACAGAATTAGGCAGCTTCCCAGAATGGGCCAGAAGATTGGAGAGGGACTGCCGGGCCAAGGGGCCTGAGAAAGGGGGTAGACCTTCAGCCCCAGCCAGATGGGGGCATGGAGGAGAGAAAGAGAGCGTGACCACTGGGGCTCAACCCCACAGATCCCAGAATGTCTCCTCCAGCCCAGCATGGATGGCTACAGGAATCTGAGGATCCCAGCCAATGGCTTCCTCTCCTCCCCGAGTTCCACTGGCACCTTCCAGTGGGCAGAGGACAGGACAGGAATGCCTTCCCCACCCCCATTCTCCACCTGCATCCTCATCTCATTGTTTTTTCATAACACCCAGGCAGCGGGGAGCAAAGGAGTCAGATCCTGACACCCCATTACAAATGAGAAGACCAAGTCCTAGAAAGGGAGTGTGGCTTCCAGAGGTGGCCCAGAACCAGGGCAGAGTCTGAGAAAATTGAGGACACTCTCATCAGCTGGGGTCACAAGCAGCATGATCCTGAGTCCTCTCTCCTGACTTTGTCTCTAGCCCAGAGCTTTCCTCTTGGGTGTCCCCCCAGGGTCATCAAACCCAGTATGTTCACAACAAATCATCTGATCGTCTACCCAAACTGGCTCCATCTCTAGTCTGTCGGTTTCGTGACTAGTGCGCCTTCATTCATCTGGGCCTCTGTGTCTCCTAATGCCTCCCTCACCCTTCCCCCAGCACCACCTATCTGTAGCCTACCTGTAGCTCCTGAGTATCTCTGACTCCTGAGTATCTCTGGCATCCACACACCTCTCTTTCCCCCCATCTGCCATAGTCCACAGTTTCTCTACCAGTTCCATCAATAGCCTTCTAAGTGACCTGTCTGCCTCTAGTCTCCCCACACCAAATGCACTTTCCACTCTGGATTCAGAGTGATCCTTCTTAAAGCAATCTGATCCTTTCACTCCCCTGTTCGAAACTTCCTTGCCAGGAGAACGGCTTGAGTCCAGAAGTTTGAGACCAGTCTGGGCAACACAAGGAAACCCTGTATCTATAAAAGTATTTTAAAAATTTAGCCAAGTGTGATGATATGTGCCTGTAGTTTCAGCTACTCAGGGGGCTGAGGCAGATAGATCACTTGAGCCCAGGAGTTTGAGGCTGCAGTAAGCTATGATTGTGCCACTGCACTTCAACCTGGGCAACAGAGCAAGACTCTATCTCTAAAAGAGAAAGAGAGAGAGAGAGAGAGAGAGAGAGACGAAGGAAGGAAGAAAAGAAAGAAGGAAACAATCAAACAACTAGGAACAGTGGCTCACACCTTTAATCCCAACACTTTGGGAGGCTGAGGCAAGAGGATTGCTTGAGCCCACAGGTTCAAGACCAGCCTGGGCAACTTGGCAAGACCTCATCTCTACAATAAATCAAAAAAATTAGCTGGGCGTGGTGGCGCATGCCTGTGGTTCCAGCTACTTGGAAGGCTGAGGCAAAAGGATCACTTGAGCCCAACAGGTCGAGGCTGCAGTGGCTGTGAGCGTGCCACTGCACTCCAGCCTGGGCAACAGAGTGAGACTCCAACTCAAAAAAAAAAAACAAAACCCTCTCCCTGCACCACTCTCCTTACCAATAAGGACCAATCTAGTCTGACCCCCAAAACCCTTCCCGCTGTGTCTACCATTGCCCCCTGACCCATCATATTTCAGCCACAGTGGATTACATGCCATTCTCTGAATGTACTAGGATGTCAGGTCTGGCTATTACTGTCTCTTGAAAACTGAATTTTGCAAAGTAGTTATTAAACACAACCATTATTTAAAGTTAAACTATATAAAATCATAATTAAATAAATTATATTAAGAACAAAGGTAATAAATACTCAAAAATCATCACTTCCTAATTAGTTTACTACATTTTACTGCTATCTGTGCTCTTAAGGTTATCTGCATGTGTCTGGTAGAAATCCATATAATCGGCCAGGCACAGTGGTTTAGCCTGTAATCCCAGCACTCTAGGAGACCGAGGTGAGAGGATTGCCTGAGCCCAGGGCTTCGAGACCAGCCTGGGCAACTTGGTGAGACCTCGTCTCGACAATAAATTTAAAAAACTAGCCAACCATGGTGACGTGCATCTATTTGTAGTTCCAGCTACTTGGAAGGCTGAAGCGGATTGCCTGAGGCCAGCAGGTCGAGGCTACAGTGACCGTGAACATGTCACTGCACTCCAGCCTAGGCAACAAGAGTGAGACACCAACTCAAAAAAGAAAAGAAAAGAAATCCATATAATCCACATGGCAAGCAGTGATATTACCCTGGTAGCCTGAAATCAACCAGGGTAGAAATATTTACACTACAGATCAACAAACATTATAAATCAGGGGTTTATTTATTTACTGTCTTTGTTGATTGTTTAGACTAGGGATTAGCAAACCATAAGCAAATCTGGCTCACAAACTGTTTATGTACACAAAGTTTTATTGGAGGCCAGGCACAGTGACTCATGCTTGTAATCCCAGCACTTTGGGAGGCCAAGGTGGGAGGATTGCTTAAACCCAGGAGACTGCAGTGAGCCACGATCATGCCACTGTACTCCAGACTGAGCAACAGCATGAGACCCTGACTCAAAGCACAAATAAATAATTAAATAAATATTGTATTGGAACACACCACATTCATGCATTTATGTATTGTCTAAGGCTGTTTATGCACTAATAAACAGTCTTAGGCCGGGCAAAGTGGCTCATGCCTGTAATCCCACGGGTTGGAGACCAGCCTGGGCAACTTGGTGAGACCTCATCTCTACAATAAATCAAAAAAAAAAAAAAAAAATGAGCCAGGTGTGGTGTCGTATGCCTGTAGTTCCAGTTACTTGGAAAGCTAAGGCAGAAGGATGGCCTGTGCCCAGCCTGTGCCCAGCACATCGAGGCTGTGGTGGCTGTGAGCAGCGTACTGCACTCCAGCCTGAGCGACAGAGTGAGATTCCAACTCAAAACAAAAACCAAAAAAACAGTCTTAGAATTGGCAGAGTTGAGTAGTTTCAGTAGATATCCCAAAACCTAAAACATTTACCACTTCATGAAAGAAGTTTGCTGTCCCCCGACCTGGACTTAAGAAAACACTGGAAACAACATGAATAACGCAGATTAAACTTAAAAGTGTGTCATATCTATAGCTGTTGCTCTGTGAATAGCACAAAAAAAGGGGAAATATTCTTCAATACTCAAAACTATTGTCCAGCTCAACAAAGAAGTCATTCACATCACTGACAAATACGTACTGACATATGTCTTGTTTCATTTCACCTTACTCATTAACAGAAACAAATCAAATCAAGCAATATTCAAAGCAGCACTACACATGAAGAGGTGGGTATTAAGCCTTTGCCAACACATCACTGCTTGAAGTTCAAGGTTCATTCACGCATCCATGTTTTGTACTACCTCCCTCTGCCCATAATACCTTTGCAAAATACCATTTTAATATCTCTTTTCCCATGCTGGCTGTATAAGTTAGCTATGTGCTGTGTAACAAACCAACCCCAAATGTAATGACTTTTAAATATTTATTATTTCTCATTAGATTATTCCATCCGGGTGTTCTACTGATCTGGGTTGAGTTTGACTGATCTCGGCCATGCTGACTTATGGTGTAGGATTAACTGGCATGTCAGCGACTGCTGGCTGGTCTAGGATGACACCCATGGAGATGAGTCTACTGTGGTCTCTCTTATCTTCAGCAGATAAGCCTGAGCTTATTCTCATGTATGGAGCCAAGAGAGCTAAGGAAAATAGACAAGTTCTCTTGAGACTTGAACTTGGAATTGGCACTCTATCACTTCCACCACATTTTATTGGCCAGAGCAAGTCACAAGGCCAGCTTAGATTCAAGAGGTGGGGAAGTAGGTGCTGAAAAGTCACATTGCAAGGGTTGTGACAGACAAAAGGAAGAACTGAGGCTATTTTTATAATCAATCTGCCACGCTGCCTCCCCCTCCTTCCTCAACCAGAGGGACCACTCCTGATTCTGTGTTTATACTGCACTGTCAGAAACACTTCGCTATAAAGAATCTACCAGCTGGACCTGCTGGCTCATGCCTATAATCCTAGCACTTTGGGAGGCCGAGGTGAGAGGACTGCCCGAGCCCAGGGTTTGAGACCAGCCTGGGCAACTTGGCCAGACCTCATCTGTACAATAAATCAAAAAATTAGCCAGGTGTGGTGGTGTGTGCCTGTAGTTCCAGTTACTTGGAAGGCTGAGGCAGAAGGATCACCTGAGCCCAGCAGGTCGAGGCTGCGGTGGCCATGAGCAGTGTGCCACTACACTCCAGCCTGGGTGACAGAGTGAGACTCTTACTCAAAAAAAAACCAAAAAAACTGTGTCTCACCAAGTTGCCCAGGCTGGTCTCCAACTCCTCTGCTCAGGCAATCCTCTCACCTCTGCCTCCCAAAGTGCTGGAATTACAGGGGTGAGCCACCATGCCTGGTCACATATCTTCAGTTTTTTTTATCCTGTAAGGTAAGTGTTACTATCCCTGTTTTACAGAGGGAGAAACCAAGTCACAGGAAAGTTGAGCAACAAGCCCAAGGTCACACACCTACATACAGGGGATTCAGGCAGTTTTCACCCCAGAACCAACTGATATCTAGGTGGCACTGGGGACTGGGCCACTTGGCCTCACAGGGCTAAAGTAATTGATGAAGCCATGGTGTCACCATGGATTTCTTTGTTCAGCTTTGTCCTTGACCTACTGGGTCACCTTGGGCCAGGCCTTCCCTTTCCTTGACCTCAGTTTCCTCATTTTACAATGAAGGAGTCAGACCCAATCATTCTTGATTCTGAACTACAGCCAAGGAGGAGGCATTTTGGAATTAGGCGGGGGGCATGTTGGTGACATCACAGAGTGGAGAGTTCCATGAGAACCGTCAGGCTTTCCTAGAAGCCCAGGCCCACAGTTTGTGTTGAGCTCAGCTTAGAAGAGAAGAGAATTCCAGGTCTTCAGCTCTCTTCATTCAAGAGTTCCCAGCATAGTCATGGATCAAAGACTAGCACCTGAAAAGACTCAAAATGAGGTAGACATCAATAACTCGGATGTATTCTCCCGCTCATTCACACAGCACAGGGCAGACCACAGCGGAACTTACCATGATGAGTCCCATCGCCGCAGAGTGTCCTATCACCAGGATGAGTCTCGCCATCTTGGCATACCCCAGGATGAGCACCACAGTGGCAAAAGAATCTACCCCAGTGAGTCTGATCACCCCAGTGGCTTTCACCACCAGAGTGATCCTCACCACCCTAAGGCGTCCCATGACCCCTACCACCACGGTGAGACTTCCTACCATGGTGGATCCCACCATCATGACGCCCAGCACCATGGAAGGCCCCATCATCACAGAGAGACCTTTTCCCATCATTCCCTCGAGGGCCCCTTCCACGATGGCATACCTCAGAACCTCAGCGAGCACCGTCGTAGTGATCACCACCACCGTGAGCATTCCCACCGCAGAGTCTACCACCGCCAGCACCAAGACCACCTCCGCCATAGTGTCCATCACCATGATTTCCTTCTCAGTGACGACCAAGACAGGGCGGACCATCAAATAAGTTCCCAGTTCCCTCTCCCATATAAGTCCCGCGGTCCGGTTCGTGACCTGAGCCCCGGGTCTCATCCGACAACTCTTCCACCTGGCGCAGCACACCCAAGGCGCTCAGCCCACCGCATGGCTCGGTCCCACGTTTCAGTTCACCGTCATGGCTCCCAAGTCTCCAACAAAGTATATATTCGGACCTCCAAGGACTCAGAAAGCTGGGAGGAAGATGAGCCATTTCAGAGACGCAAAGGTAAGTCTTTGTTGGGTCCCCTACTTCCCATCCACCCTGCCTGGCCCAGATTCTAGACCTAACCCAGGCCCTGCACTGATCTTCCACAGATCAGGTGGCTTGAACTCTTTCCTGTGTATCTATTCCATTGGCTATTGTCTTTCCCGACTGTCCATCATCCTATTTTTTATTCTCTGAATTAGGCATCTCCGTAGGCCATGAAGTGTCTTCATTCAGTTGCTGCTTTCTTCATTCACAAGTTCATTTTCAGGCACTGACTCTTGTCTAATGTGGATGTTTGGCCGCCCAGGAAAGAATTCAACACAGTTGCTGCTTTCAAAGGGTCCAAGACTTAGGGTGGTCACTTAACCAATCAGACCATCTAGGGATGGGGCTTGGTCTCCTCTGTCTCAGAGCACTGACCACTGTGGATTGTATCTGTCCATGTTTCTCCCACTAAACTGTGAGCTGCTTGGGGACAGAGACCAGGAACTAGTGCCCGTATGAGGACCTCACTGGAGGGTGGAGAGGGACCTTGTCTTTAACTCACAATCCCTCAAACTTGGATCCTGTAGTTCAATAAATATGACAACAGTTTCATGAACAAGCAGAGAAGGGTGAGTGTCTTATTGAATGGGGACAGGCAGCCCAGAGGAAAGTTTCAGCAGGATCTTTTTTTTTTTTTTCTTTTTTTGAGTTGGAGCCTCACTCTGTCGCTCAGGCTGGAGTGCAGTGGCACGCTCACAGCCACCACAGCCTCGACCTGCTTGAGGTGATCTTTCTGCCTTAGCCTTCCAAGTAGCTGGAACTACAGGCGCATGCCACCATACCCGGTTAATTTTTTGATTTATTGTAGAGATGAGGTCTCGTCAATTTGCCCAGGCTGGTCTCGAACCCCTGGACTCAGGCAATCCTCTCACCTCGGCCTCCAAAATTACTGGGATTACAGGCTTCAGTCACCGTGCCTGGCCTTCAGCAGGATCATAAAGGCAAAGGGTGAGTTTATCAAGAAGATGGGGTTTCCATGAGTAAGTTGCCATGTGAGCAAAGACATGGAAGTGTAGACACAGGAGCCCTCAGGATCCACTCAAGCCGCCTCCAATTTCCAGCAGGTTGGCACCTGCCATGGAAGGGGTCAGGCCTGTGGCCCCAATACCAGCACAGAACTGACACTGGGCGAGCCAATGGCAGGCAAGTACAAACTTGACTTTCTGGTTCCCTTACAGCTGGCCGGGTTCAGCGAACTCACAAGAAGCTACACAGTACAGGCCTCTCCCAATGGCTATGGGAAAAATTAAGCTACCTCATTCAGGACTTACGGACAATGATCAGGAATCTGACCCAGTCCCTGGCCTTCGAAACCTTCATCTTCCTCATCATCTGCCTCAACACCATCATGCTTGTGGCCCAGACTTTTGCCGAAGTCGAGATCCGGGGTGGTAAGAACCAGGGAGCCCTGTCCACAGAGAGAAGGTCACTGATGTTGTTGCAGCACCTCCTGTGGGCCTGATCCAGTGCCGGGTGATTTCTATAACTCAGTTCACTTGATCCTCGCCCCCGGGGAGTACAGGGCATCGCCCAGGGTCAGTGGTGAGGGTCAGAGAGACTGCAGAGGTCAGTCACCCAGCTGGAGACCGCTTAACTGGAGGCTGTGCTGTTTGCAGCCACAGCCACCAGGGGACGCATCTGCCCTACATGTGCTGCTTTGGGCAGAGGGGTGCCTGGAACCAGGGTCTGCAGGAAGGGCCAGCGGACTTTGAGGAAATTTCGGTCCTGGAGGGGTGAGAGCGGATGACCTGGAAAACTGGCCCCTAAAACATCGTGGAACAGGAGGAAGGAAAGATCTGCCACAGGTTCCCTGTGTCAGGCTCTATTCTAAGCGCTTGTGTTAAATGCATTTAATACTCATGACAACTCTATCAAGCGACATTTTAAAATTTTTATTTTAATTATTATTTTTTTTTAATTGGAGTCTCACTCCGTCGCCCAGGCTGGAGTGCGGTGGCATGCTCACGGCCATCGCAGACTCGACCTGCTGGGCTCCGGCTATCCTCCCATCTCAGCCTTCCAAGTAGCCAGAACTACAGGCGTGTGCTACCACGCCCGGCTAATTTTTTGGTTTATTGTAGAGACAGGGTCTTGCCAAGTTGCCCAGGCTGGTCTCGAACCCGTGGGCACAGGCAATTCACTCATCTTGGTCTCCTAACGTGCTGGGATTACAGGCTGAGCCACTGAGTCCGGCCTATTTTTATTTTTTAAATTTTTTTTATTTTTTGAGTTGGAGTCTCACTGTGTCACCCAGACTGGAGTGCAGTGGCTGCTCCGGCCACCGCAGCCTCAGCCTGCTGGGCTCCAGTGATCCTTCCGCCTCAGCCTTCCAAGTAGCCAGAACTACAGGCTTGCACTACCATACCCGGCTAATAGTTGATTTATTGTCGAGACAAGGTCTCGCCAAGTTGCCCGGGTGGGTCTCAAACTCGCAGGCTCAGGCAATCCTCCCGCCTCGGCCTCCCAAAGTACTGGGATTACAGGCTGAGCCACTGAGCCCAGCCTAAGCGGCATGTATTATACCCGTTTAAAGATGAGAAAACTGAGTTACAGTGTGGTTAAGTCACACAGCCATTCAGGGCAGAGCCAGGAGACCCTGGGTATTTGGGCTTGTGTGAGGTCCCAGTGGTGAGAAGGAGAGAGAGGGCATCAGGGGTGCTGGGGACATCCCTGAGCACGCTCCTGGTGTCCCCACAGAGTGGCACTTCATGGTCTTGGACTCCATTTTCTTCTGCATCTACGTAGTGGAAGCCCTGCTCAAGATCATCGCCCTGGGCCTCGCGTACTTTTGTGACTTATGGAACAGTCTGGGTGGGTGGGGCTGGGGCCGATGGGGGAGGAGCTGGTCAGGGAGCCACTGAAGTGTCTGAAAGGGGGTTGAGGGGGTGTTGGCATCGAGAAGACTGGGGGGCCAGAGCCGGCAGGCGCCCACCGCACTCAGGCACCCACCTCACCCTCAGACTTCTTCATCATGGTCATGGCTGTGCTGGACTTCACGCTCATGCAGCTGCACTCCGCTGTCTACCGCCAAAGTTACTTTCGGATCATCAAGGTCTTCAAGAGCCTGCGAGCCCTGAGGGCCATCCAGGTCTTTCGGAGGTTCCGGTCAGCGCAACTGCGGCTCCCCACCCTGGCGTGGGAACTCCGAGGGGATAAGGGTCACAGACCTGGGCCCCCAAGGAGCCCACTGTGACCTGCTCAAGGGTTGGGGCAGCGGGCGACAGCCACCCTCCCCTGGGATCAATCTCTTCATTTTCCAGGGAAGGGACCAGGGCTCACCCAAGTCACCAACAAATCAGAGACCTCCTGCTTTCGGTGCCAGCTCTCGTTGCTGGGCACGGACTCCTGCCCCTGCTCACTAGCCCTGCCTTCCACTTCGGCCCGCAGTTTTCTGACCAGCCTCCAAGAAGTGACAGGGACCCTGGCCCAGACCTTGCCGTCCATCACGGCCATCCTCATCCTCATGTCCACTTGCCTCTGTATCCTTTGCTGTGGCTGGGGCAGGAGCCTGAGGGGCTGCTGGGGAAGGGGGTTGGGAGAGCGGGGACCTGGCGGGAGGAGGGGTGCTGGGGCAGGGCCGGGCCCCAAGAGCCTGGTTTGGCCCTGAACGGTCAGTGCTCTTCTCCATGGTACTCCGGGCTCTGTTCCACAAATCTGATCCCAAGCGCTTTCAAAACATCTTCACCACCATCTTCACACTCTTCACCTTACTCACGCTGGACGACTGGTCCCTCATCTACCTGGACAGCCGGGCTCAGGGTGGGGCGGGCCCCAGGCTGCGCGGAGGGCAGGGACTGGCCGGGTGGGCAGACCCGGAGGGCTCAGCGACCCCTTCTGTGGAGTGGGGCTTCCCGTGCCCGCCAGGCGGGGCAGGAGTAGGTGGGTGAGCTCACTGAGCCCCGTCTCTCACTCTCCCCAGGTGCCTGGTACATCATTGCCATCCTCACTGTTTACATCATCATCCAGTACTTCATCTTCCTCAAGTGAGGACGGCCCTGCTCTTCGGCCCAGACCCGCTCCCCTCCCGCTCCTCGCCTCCCCTTTAGGCCTCCCCACTGCTGCCCTTTCCTCCTGGGTAAGGGGCCTCTCCTCTGGCTTCCTCCTTGAGAACACCCGCCTGTCCCCCTCCCCAGCCTGGTGATCGCTGTCCTGGTGGATAACTTCCAGACGGCACTGCTCAAAAGCTTAGAGAAAATGAAGCAGGAGGTACACGTGGGGTGGGGCGGGCAGCCAGGTCCGAAAGCACAAGAAAGGCCAGGGACTCCAGGGATAGGCGAGCCTGGGACTCTGGCAGGATTGATACCTCTTCTTCCCAGAGGGCCAGACAGATCCATGAGAAGCTGCTGGATGATTCACTGACGGAGCTCGACCAAGCAGGTACTGGCCCTGCCCAGCCTGGCCCCATCTGTCGCCCTCAGGACCTTCTGTATATGTTCATTTCCCACACCTGTCTTTCTGGGTGAACCGATTTTGAGCAGGTTGATTTGCTTCCCGCTTAAGGATTCTCAGACTTCACTCAGTTCCCGAATCCCACTCTTAGGGTCATCATCAGAGGATCAAGGGTTCTCAGAGGTTACCTGGTCCCTCACCTGCACTCTCCATCAGGAACAGACGGTGCAAAATAGCTTACGAGAGATTCATTGGCTCAAATCGCTCAGCAAGTTGAGGGTGCATGGGTTTTCAGGAGTGGCTGGATCTAGGACTCACGTGATGATCAGAATTTGGTCTTCTATATCTCCACTCTGCAGCCCTCCGTGTGGTTTTGTTGTCAGGACAACTCTTCCCTTGTGGTGGCAAATGGTCACCTGCAACTCTGGGCCCACAGCCTCACAGATTAGCCCTGCCCCGAGCTTCCAGCGGTCCCAACAAATCCCAGAAATGAGCCTCCTTGTGTCTAGTTCTGAAGCAATCACTGCAGCCAAACGGAGAGGCTGTTCTGATTGGCCAGGCCTAAGTCACAAGGTCCTGGAGCTGGGGGATGGGGCCACTCCCTCTAGATGACATGGGCTAAAGAGGGGTAGGGGTGATTCCTCAGGAAAACTGGGATATTTTACCAGAAGAGGGAATGGGTGCTGGACAGACAGACAAATAAATAGAACTACTTGGGGAAAGCCTAAACAGAAACTCCTGCAGCCCCTGAGTGTCTCCATGACACATGGGGTTTCCTCCACTCCTTCTCCGAATCCAGGCATATTCTCGTTTTTCTTTTCTTTTTTTTTTTTTTTTATTATGAAGTTGTGGGGTATAATTAAGGGTTAGGTATACAATTGCGTTTCATTCAGGCACCCTGTTGATATGGGGTGTTTCCCCGTTCCCAGACAGATATTTGCTACTGTTAATCCCATCTCCCTCCCCCCACCATAGTTTCCCAGTACGGTCAGTCATTTTCGTATAGTATTGTATTGGATGTTTAAGGTCCATTATATGAGTGAGAACATGTGATATTCGGATCTTTGTTTCTGTGAGAGGTCACTCAGTATTATAGACTCTCTCGTTTTTCTTAAGTCGGGTTCTCACTCTGTTACTCAGACTGAAGTGCAGTGGCACCATCATGGCTCACTGCAGCCTCGACCTCCTGGGCTCAGGCAAGCCTTCTGCCTCAGCCTCCCGAGGAACTGGGACCACAGGCATGCACCACCACCACATCCGGCTAATTGTATTTATTTTCTGTAGAGACGAGGTCTCCCTGTGTTGCCTAGGCTGACCTTGAACTCCTGGGCTCAAGCAATCCTCCTGCCTCAGCCTCCCAAAGTGCTGGGATTACAGGCATGAGCCACGATGTCCAGCCAGGAAGGCTTTCTGACCTCCCCCTTCTCTCTCCACAACCAGACCTTGACGTGACGATGAGTGAGGGCACCATGCACAAGCACCTCATTGAGAAAAAGTTTGGGACCATGACAGCCAAGTGAGGAGACATGAGGGGGCGGGGCCTCGGGTCTTAGGGACGAGGTCTGGGGCCTGACCCATGGGCTGGATGGGAAAGGGACGTTGCCTGCCCCTCTGGAAGGGGACGCAGCCCTAAGGTCTGTGCGTGAGCCTGTGGGGGGGGTGTGGAGACCGTCAGTGGTTCTGCACACCCAGAGGCGGCCAGCACCACCTAGACAATCCCACCAGCAGGGATCCGTTCATCCCTTTACTCAAAATAATCCCTGACCATTGTCAGGGCCAGACCCTCTGAGGGTTCCAGGGACCCAAAGAGGACACAGACTCAGTCCCTGCCCACGAGGGTCTCATCTCTAAAGACCTATGCTGGGCCATGGGAGGCTGAGTAAACTTTAGCCAGATGGAGGGACGATGAGGTGGGGTGAGAGGAATAGGCTGGAGACCAGATGGTCAGCCTCCATTTCTGTCTACTTGAGAGGCCAGCTGAGCCAGGACAGCTGAGGACTCACGGCTGGGGATGTGTGCCCACGACTGGTGCCCTTGGCGCAGGCTCCTGCTTCCTGGCTCTCAAGCCTGGCTTCCTGGAGACCTTTCTCTCTGAAAGCTGGGCCCCATCCCACCCAGTCCAGACTGGCTGCAGACCATCAGATAGGGCAGGCCGACTGTTGGCACTCTCTGGGTTGTCCCGCCCATGAAGAGAGCCCAGGCCCTGTGGCCTGGCATTCAGGCCCTTGAGGTCAGGCCTCAGCCAGTCCCGTGAATCATTGTAATCGTGACCGCCCTTGCACATCCTTGAATTCCACACACTTCTCTCCTGCCGGGCCCTTGCCTGTGTGTTCTCTCTGCTTGGAACTTTCTCTGGCTGCTGATGCTAGGCTTAGGTGATCAACAGTTGTACAGCCTTTCTCTGGGGGTTCATTGGCCTCCATATGACCCCACTGGCCCTCCTCTGCTGAAGGCAGTCTTTATTAAGTGCAGTTTGTCTTTTGTCTCTTCTCTTGCGTTTAGACTCTCACAACGGCTCCCGCTCCCCTTAGAATAAGTCCAGGCTTCTTCCTTTGCCACTTCCCAGGTGTCTTCATCTTCAGTTCATCCACTCCAGTTCAGTCTTCCCCAAAGCCCACCCTGGCCCCCCAGTTATGCCCCTGACCCTTTGTGCCCTGCGGTTCTCACACCTTGGACTACCGGGGAGCCTGCCCAAGCCAGCAAACCCTCACGTGTCTTTCAAACTCAGCTCACTAACGCTTCCTCTGGAAGCCTTTCCAGACCCCTAGTGCCCAGTGAGGTTTTCCTCCTTCAAGTCCCTCAGCCCCCACCCTCACCCCGCCCCCCGCCATGTTTGCACTTACCACAACGTATTGGGAGTTGTCTGGCTCTGAGGGCAGGGCTGCTTCTTGCTCCATCTCCACGGAGCACCTTGCGGTATTCATTGTTTTCTAAGTGTTCTTCCAGGGATGGATTGATAACGATGGGTGGGTGGGTGAATGGGGCAATGAGTGAGTAGTAGCAGGGGGGCATGGTTGGGTGTATGGATAGGCAAGTGTGTGACCACACAGGATGGTGAAGGTGTCAACAGGCAGCAGGAGGGTCCAGGGAAGAGTGGGCAGATTTGAGGGAGAGGTGGATGGGTGGAAGGGTTGGACGGGTGCATGGATGGGTAGATGGTTCAGTGGGTGTGTGGAGAGGTCCGGGGTAGGTGAAGGAGGAAGAAGATGGGTGGACAAATGGGTGGATGGAGGGTTGGGCGGTTGGGAAGGTAAACAACAGTCAGAAGCTTCGTGGTATAGGCAGACACAGGACTGTTTTGTATGTGGAAAAGGAGACATCTTGGAAACAAAGGGCTAAGATGATGTAAGTTTTGGGGGAGCAGGGAGGCAGGCAGGAAGAGCCATCTGGGTGGCTCTGGGGCCAAGAAGATTCGCCAGGCAGGGGAGCCCAGCCCAGGCCTCTCCCCCGTCCTGTCCCCAGGCAGCGAGAGCTCCTGTTCCAATTCCTGCAGCTGGTGGCCAGCGTGGAGCACCAGCAACAGAAATTCCGCTCCCAGGCGTCCGTCATTGACGAGATTGTGGACACAGCATTTGAGGTGAGTCAGGCAGGATGGGCGGAAGGAGTCAGTGAGGGAGGACTCAGACTCTGGGGGCTTGTGCCCAGACATGGCCCCGAGGAACAGTCGCACGGGCACTGGGGAGGGCAGAGGCTGACTCTTCTCCCTCCTGTGTTTCACTCACCCCCACAGGCTGGAGAAGAGGACTTCAGAAAGTGACCCTGGGGAAGAGCACCGGATATAAACTTCAGCCTCCTGGGTGGGTCAGGACACTTTCCACAGAACTGCTGGAAGGATTGCTGGGGCCCTGCAGTTGGGGCCCTGCAGGGATGGGATGGGGTCGTAACAGCGTTTTAAAACCCTAGATGGCTCTGTGTACTCACTGGCTAGGCCACGAGACAGGGAATGAGACCTGGATACATGCACACGTTTGCACAGGCAAGGGCCTGTGTGCTGGGGTCACAGTGAAAGGACCGTTCTTGGGTCCCCTCTAGCCTCACTCGGGTAGCGTCCTAGCTCAGCCTAGCAGCGCATTGACAGCAGCTGGGGGATTTGCAGAACCTGGGCCAGGCACAAGTGCAGGCTGTGCTGGGAGGGGACAGAGTGGGCGGTCACCCTGCTTTGGGGAGGAAGGTGTCTCTGGCCCAGGATCCAGAGAAAAATACGCCAGAACTGCCCGGGGTTGTCAGGGCCAGGGGGACCAGTGGACTCCAAGAATGGGGCTCAGAGCTCAGGAAATCGGGCCTGTCAGGTCCCTCAGCATCCAGTATGAGTGCCAACCCAATGGGGTTGTCATGGATCCAGAGGTCAGAGTTCATTGCCATACCTGGCCCTGCATGGGATCAGTCTCCAGAGCCTCCTTGTGGGGAGGTGTGGTGGAGGCTGCTTAAATCCTTCTGGCCTCAGGGCAGGCAAGGAAGTGGCCACAGGGCAGGTGTGGACAACCTCCTGCTGCCCACTCTACCTGGTTCAGGGCTTGGCTAAGTTCCCCTGCTTACAGCCTGAGCCTGGGCCGGATTCCAGTGGCGCTGTCCCCACAGCAGCTGAGGGTGGCAGTGGGGCAGTGGCCTGTGCTGGGTGCTACAGACCTAGCCCTGAGTCAAGTTCAAGCCCAACCTTGGCCTGGAGGGGAATCCTAGGGGTGGAATATTCCGCTATCTACAACCGCCATCTCACCTCTAGGAGGGGCAAACCCACGGTGTAGTGCAGGCCAGGGGGAGTCAGAAGTGAGGGCCAGGGGGCGACAGACAGTTTTGTCAACCCCTGCCATATCCGGGCAAGACATGGTGGAGACTCCAGGGCTCGAAACAGAGCATGACCTCCCCTCCCTGGTGTGGCCAGGGCGCTGACTGGCCTGGGGCCCGGGAGTAGACTGTGCAGAGGAAATGCCATCTGGGATTTGGGCCTCTCCAGGGATGGAGAGGCCACTTGGCAGATGTCCCCAGGCCTGGCCCCCCACCCACCTCGCACATTCATTCAACAGGCATTTCCTGCTGCCTATCCCATGCCAGCTCCATCCTGGGGCCTCCTGTTTGGTGGCACAAGGGAGCCCTTCCAAGCAGCAGCCAAACCTCCCAACACACACACACACCCTAAGCTGCCACATCTGACAGGCTTGAGAAGTATGGCTGCATGTTGCGTGCCCCCCGTGTCCCTGACTCTTCTCAATTACAACCCTCAGCTCCCTAGAATCCCAGATGGGAGTTAGCGTCCCTGCCTCACCCCCCCATCCCACCCCCCTATGGCCTCCGAGGGGGGAGTCATCAGGTCCCAGCACTGGGCAGGGGACCAGGCAGTCGCACGTGGGGAGGGGGACCTTGCCAGGGAAGGATGGGCACCCAGGCAGCGGGCGGGGCTGCCAGTGCACTCTTCACACCACAGTGCTGCCAGATGGCATCGAGGCCTAGTGCCCCCCGGGTCTCTGTCCTAGGTGTGGGTGTATGCTTGTGTGTCTGAGGAACACCCCTGGGTGTGGCATCTGGGTCTCTGGGTTGTGTGTTTGCAGTTCGTGTGTATGTCTCCAGGTTGTTTACTGGGGTGTGTTGCTTCTGTGTATTTTTGCCTTTGCTTCTGGTTGCTAGGCTGTGTCTGTGTTTTTCTGGGTCACGGCAGGATCTGAACACGTGTTTTGGTTTTCTGCACGTGGATGTCTGGTGTGTTGTGTTTGGGGTGTGTGCCTGTGCAATTGAGTATGAATTGCAGCCACAAAGTCAGGTTTCCTTTACATTTTCGTTAAATGACGTTGAAATTGATCCATTCCCTCCTCTCCTGTGGGCATATCTGAGTGCTGTCCCACTGGGATTCCCTGTCCAGTCCAGCCCCTTCCAGGGGTCTTACCCGGGGCAAGGCACTGGGGGGGGGTCCCTCTGGTGTGTGGCCCACCGTGTGGACTTGAGCAGCATTGTCCTATCCCTCTTGGTCTCTTGGCCTGCAGGAGCTCGGCCATCCTTGGGTCACATGAAAGGGAAGGGCTAAACCGGGCTTGGTGGCTCAGCCTGTAATCCCGCACCTTTGGGAGGCTGAGGTGAGTGGATTGCCTGAGCCCGCGGGTTCGAGACCCGCCTGGG